AAATTATAAAAATGTTGGAGAAATGCAAAATTATTAACTACTTAAATATTTCCAAGGAAATTATCTTGTTATTCTCGCTGTCTTCGCAGCATTCGTTGTCACGAAGATTAGAAATTCCTCGCGTAAATGCAACGACGACAAGCGGAGGAGTCGATGTAATTGAGCGCGCGATAATTTCTGGCTGAAAACTCCATTTGCAACTCTAGAAAATTAGATTGTGACTGATAAACGCGCGATTTCTTAGCAAACGCGGAACGGCACGTGCGGAAATGGCACTTTAGAGAAACGGATCGCGGACGCAAATCTCGATACACAATTCCTCGGTCGAGACCGATTCGCTACCAATCATCGTTCATCATCATCTCGTTCGGCCGGGATTTATAGACCACTCTTCTGTCTTACGCGCCTTCATGAAAGTTTAACGAACCAGAAACGGCGCCTCGCTATTTCGATACGAGTGTCGCGCCGTACGGTATTCCCCAACGAGAATTTCACACGACGAATATATTCGCACCGTGAACTCTAAACTTTACTGACTTAACCGCTCTTACGGTTTTTGCGAAACTGAGAGATCTTTTGCCTCTACTCAGAAAGAAAAGATGATCTTCTTATATAAGAATTTTAATTTTTTATTTAAACTTTTTTTTCTCGGTTGAACTATATAAATGACTTCAAGCAAGTTCTCTTCGTTTAACGCAATATAATCTCATTTCCAAGATTTTAGATTCTAGCATATGTATATACGAGTAGCATGTAAGTTTTGATTGGACACTTCTTTATTTCTGTGTAATTTTTCGCTAACCGTCTATTAATCTTCGAGCTATTTTTAAGGAAATCTCGAGGCAAATAGTTAGTACCTTTAAAACTTCCTTTGAAACTTTAACAGTAAAAATTTTTTATTCGACTTAACTGGCTATCTTTATAATGTTAATAACTGTTAATTATTCACTGACGTAGTAAAAGTTACGTATTTGGTTTCCACACTTTAAGTCTATTTTTGTATTTTATTTATTTATTAAACTGATTAAATTTTGCACTCCTTCTCTTGAAAGTATTTTACATGTTCAAAATAAAATAATATAAGCAGCAGATAAAAGCGTGGTCGTTAGCCTCTCTATGCCACTCTACGTGCCACTATACGCATTGTAAAATAGATCGTGTACAGTAGCAATAGCGGTACCTATTGATATAGCGAGAATGCGGAGAAAGTCGATACTGAGATCAAGGAGTACCAAGTAAAGGCACAATATCGAAGACTTCACGATGATTAATCACGAAAAGAAAACTAAATTGGTTCGAACGAGGTAACGAGCCAATGAATGAAAAGGTACCCGCTGATCTGCTGACGATGCGAGCGATAAAATAAAAAACTTACATTATGTAAATCTGATGTATATTTGAGAGTTTAGAGGGAAAAAATAAAAAAAAAAAACGTGAAAATTGTGCGGATCTCTTCGAGAGGAACGGCCTTGAATTGTATTCCTCAAGATTATTCCTTACCGCTTTATTATCTTGACACGATAGGCGTGTCGAAAAGGGATTCTTCCTTTCCTTTCAAAAGGGATTAACATTGAGAGCAAAGCAATTAAAACGAATCTCACAATTAGGCTATTTAGTTAAAAGAAAAAGGATAGGGAACTAAACGTAACAAGCTAATAGTATAATTATGAATTAATAAATATATTTTACGCGTAGACACACACGCGCGCGCACGTATACGTCAAATTGACGAAAGGAGAGCGAGTTGTCGAGAAACCGTCAAGAGGATTCGGCGGGGTGGTGGATTCATTGGTAAAACAATTCAACGGCAGCTCGTATACGGGCCTGCGTTCATTACGGACGCATGATCAAGAGCAAAAGTGTCATGAAGAGTGAAGATGCGCCAGGAAGAGTGAAGCGTCGAAAGAGGTGTGAACGCGAACGAAAGTGTGCCGTTCGTACGCCGACGTGCGTGTCGTCCTGTTCTAGGGGGGAGACGTGAGACTCTCCTCGGACACCAAGAAGCGTCCGAGTAGCGTGTGCTCTCGGGGTACAACGTTTGCCTCAGTGGGGGCAGCGACATAAGTACAGACGATCTTAAGAAAAGCCCCACATTCTGATAGCAGATCGCAGACCCACGGAGTCGGTGAACTTGTGCGATACAATTTGTGCGACACCCTGCGAGTAGCCCCGCGCGCTCAGCTGTCCGAAGGGAATCGGGAGAGAGAGAGAGGAGGGTCAGGGCGCTCGAATGTATCTTGGAAAGGGCTGCTGCATCCGCGAACGAAAGGAAGAGACGTTTGGGACGGACCTTCGCGTTATCCATCGTATCGTTTTGCCTGCGAGACTCGCATACGCGGTGAGTAACGCGCGTGAGTTTCTTTCGCAATTTCTCGAATGTGAATTTCGAAACGAAACGATTGTGCTCTGAAACGCACGATCATGATGCTTAATTGCGGGGTAATTGCGCGGAAATTTCGTGAAATTGGGATCACGCGGATCGCCTCGATCGAAATGCGCGATGCGGATTTTTTAACGTGGCGTAAAAAATAATATAATAGAAAAAAGTAATGGGAAGAAAATAAGATCGCGAGATAGATGAAAGCTTTTAAACGAGAGCTCGCGGAAAGAGGAAACGCTTTAAATACACGCTTAAATAATTTGACGAATCTTAAACTCTGATTTAAATATATTTATTTATTTTACAAGCATCAGTTTATAATTTGTTAATTGAAATGTCTGTGTGATCTGTGTCACCCTCAGACTAACAGTCGACCAAATCATAGACTGGTTGCTTTGATCGCACGCGAGTCTGGCTCATGCAATTTTTAACAAAGTCCAAGATTGTAATCTGTGACATACACCGATTATTTATGTCATTATTTAATTCATTTAAATATGTCAGTGGATTATGCGAAAGGAAGGACATGATCGAATACACAAAGACAATAATTTAACCGCTCAAGTTAAAATTAGACTGTTAAATTCATAGTGTTAAGTTATATTTATTTATTTGAGTCATTTTTAACCATTTCTATAGGTTGCCATTACTCCTACTAAAAAAAAGGAAAAATATGTCATTAATTTAACTAAATCAATGGAGTTAAAATAATACTTTTTTGTGTTAAAATAATAAATTTCGACACACATGGTATGACCAATAACAAGGTATTGGTTTAAATTTCATCCTTTAATATTTAACAGCGTGTAACGTTTCAAGTGAGACTTATTAAAGCTTTTATTACATATTACATCACTATAATCTTCGCGTTTTTATCGTTATAAAAGACTTCATCGGCACGATGCCACCCACGCGATTATCCGCGTACAGAAGTTAGTGCGATCACGTACGACCTTTCGCGGGTGATCGCCGCATTAGTGTTATGTCGATCACGATCCCTATCGCCGTTCCATCGATTGGTATTCGCGCAATGTCCATCGATCCATCCGCACAGCTGGTCGAGCATGGGAAAAGCGCGAAGAATTCTTTTGATTTAAATCAACTTGGCGATCGACATCTCCGCGACGTGTGCCGCTCGCGAATGATAATGAAAAGTCACCTCTTCTCTCGTTGTTTCACTGTCGCTATCATTTGACTCACGATCAACTGTATGCGACACCGTGTATTTGCCGTTTCTATAAGTTTGACCGAATCTAATTATTAATCACGATGGAATCCGCGACGCTATCATTATTAATATTTAATTCATATTTTAAGTTGCAAGTCAACCATAAATGATTCATTTCTTCTTTCAACGCTGCAAAGTAACGTTAGTGTAACGTGACCAATCTGACTGATCAGTCGGACGACTCACCAGTCGACAAAATGATCTCAGATTCTATAGGGTGCTGCAAAAAAAATGGAAGTAACTTACATGGAAGTAACATTTTTGGAGAAACAGAATTGATAACACAAGACATCACAGTAACAAATGTATTTTGTCTTCGAATACACTCTCTCCATTTCGTCACTATTGTCAACACATTCTTGGAATCTTCTCCGGGTGGTCTCCAGAGCCTTAAAGCTTCTACATAGCCCTCAATTACTTCCATGTAAGTGTTAACATTTCTTCGAAGCACCCTGCAGTTTGACCTATTGTATCTTCACTCATGCATTCGCCTAAAATTATTGCCAAGTTATTCCTCGACAATCGTCTCTGCTTCCCTTGCAAATCGTCGTTCTTCACCTATGAGAATAATGCAAAAGCTCACTTTTATTTGCGGATCGTTCGCTCGTGAGGTGGATCGTAAAAAAACCCGCTCGTGTATCCGAACGATTTTCGCATTCGCTATGCACTGCAACGAAACGGCCAACCGGTTCGGGGTTCGGGGATTAGAGTTCTCTAAATTTCACCTCTTAAAGATTCCAAATGTAAATAACTGCGCTCGTAATAAATGGTCAATTTCTTGCGGTAAGCCGCCAAGAGTCAATGGTAGCGGCGGCGCGGAGGAAGGAAGCGCTTCGTGCCTCGAACATATTACTTTGCTGCCGTGTGCAGCATCTGGAAAACGAGGTGTAGATTATTTCGCGATTTATGTACTCTCGAAATTCGACTCGACTATCGAGAACTGTATCTTGACTTTTTTACGCGGAAGTAATTCAATCCAGCGTAATTCACGAAAGGGAAGGGGATATTGTTTTAATTATTTATCGTAAAGTAATATCAATCGGGATTACATACGTGTATCAAACAACTTTCTCTGCTTGATACATATATAAATATATAATCTCAAAATTCATTTTATACGACGATACGTTTCCAGAAATGTGATTTCCTTCTACGAATACTGATTGTGAGAGGCTTGGAAACGAGGTGAAAGTTTTTAGATAGCAGGACATGAGAATAAATTGTATTGATTTTTAAATTGGATGTTACTTCGTGCGGCATTCGTGATATTGAAATCTAGGATAGTAAGATGCGATCCTTGAACTTATAAGAAAGACGAGATCTCTAAGAAAGGGAGTGGTGTATAACATTGCAATAAAAAATGTAATTATTTCATGTGGAATGCAAAATGGGAGGTAATTTATTGAAAGTACAAGCTTCGGCAAAGTTTGTGCTTGCGTCATCAATCGAATATAGTTTTTTTTAACAGTTTTTACGTTTTCTTTCGTTCATCAAATGATTTTTTCTGGAGTTAGAGAGTTACCTACGTTCTGATAAATCGCCAACGATTTAGGAAATGAGAAAATGTATATGTGCAATGTATATTGAGGCGAAATGTGAATTTTGAACAAATAAAGATTAACAATTGAAGAAAGTAGAAAAGAAATCGTTCGATATCATAACTTTTGCAAATAATTTTAGGTAATGACGTAACTATTAATAGATTCGGAAGAATTTTGTTTCCATTTTAACTTATGTCTATTACGCTACAGATAAAAGGCTCACAGCAGTAATTTGAAGTAGATAATCCACATATCGTAAGTCTAAGCGACTCTTGTAAATGCTACACTTTGATATATAAATATATGCGAATATTAATTTAACAATGTTGCCGCTAATCTAAATTCTCGAATAATTCTATCTTAAAAAACGACATATTTAAAACACATGCACACAAACACAAATCGTTGCTCTATCTAGGTTAATCGATTCGTGCATAAGATCGTTTACAAATATACCGTTGCTTTGTGTCATTAATGTTTTGCGCATCCTTATAAAAAATAATAAATGTAGTTTATCTTCGCAAAAAGATGGATACTTACGAGCAGGTCAAGATTCTCGCCGAAATAATTAATGAATTGCCAATTTGTAATGCCACACAGTAGCAATGATTAATACAAGACTCATCAAATGTCAATTTACGCGCGTCAAAGAAGCATAGTTCGCGTTATATTTGAGAAAATAAAAAAAATTCTTTTCACAGATTCCTTTTACGAAAGTTCATGCATGAATTCATTTTTTGATTGCATTGGAAGAGTTGGAAAAGATTATTTGGTTTTACAATTAGAAGATTATCGCGAAAGATGTAACATTATTTACAAACTACTTGGATGAGAAGTAAAAGATGAATGAAAGTATGAAGGTGTGTTAAGATGATTATTGCTTCATGCCGGAATTACAGTTCCGCGCTAAATGGAATAATTCGCTCGTTGGACAGCACTTTTTCTGTTAATGATATGCTTGATAGAAGTTCGTTTTGAGAAAATTATTAGAACGTACACGAACCGACTTGATTTAACTTCCTACTTCATAAAAAATTATATTGCATAAGAATATATATAATAAAAGATTTACTTTTTTTTAAGGTTCAGTTATTAATTGCATACGTTTATAGAGGAAAGTGCCCTAATATGAGACAGGATCCCAATATGAGATATGTTAAGCTAAAAGGCCCTATATAGGCACTATCTGTTGATCCCACCATGAAAAAACCCTACCATCTCATATTAGGATCCTATCTCATAACAAGGCATTTTCCTCTATTAATTTCTATAACATGCAATTAAATGTAAATAAAAAATAAGAATTTAAAAAAGAAAAATATTAAGTAAGTTTTTATCTGCTTTCATTGATCATAAATTCACATTTGCATATTGCGATTTGATTTTAGAAAACATGATTAACTAATGTAAAGACTGACTAATTTGACGAGACAGCCGCTTCTAATCGCATAATGCGTTCCATATAGTTGTAACAAAATCCGTCATTTTATAAAATATTGTTTTATAAAATATTCATTATCGTCTCTCTGTTTTTCTCATTGACCGACTATTGTCGATCTTTTGCTATGGTTTCCCGTCATCGATATACCGAATTAATGTAAAAAACTGGCACTTTATGAGAATTATTGCGAGAGTATAAAGAAAAAGAAAATTTTTTACAATCGCCTAGAAAATGATCGTTATAAAGTAACTCACATGAACAATTTAATAGAGTCAGTTTGACTTTAATCCGCAAAGATGTTTGCCTACATGCAATAGCATAGACATTATAAAAGTAGATTTGATCGTAGCAATAACCACAATTGTACAATATTGAGAGCATCACATGCCGCGTGCATTCAGCGATCAAATTTCTCTATAATATTTCAGAAAATTACCTTTCCCTAGACATCATTAATAATACAACTCAATTATGCTTTATTTTGTGAAAGAACCGACAAGAATCGCAAATCTATTGGTAAATGCGAGCGTAATACCGGATGGTATTAATGCTCTTGATTGTATGTGGTAACTACATATATAGAATAACTTCTTTTGTATAAAATTTTTTTATAAACGGACAATGCAATAATAATATTATAATTATTATTCGAAATAGAATGTACACATTAAATTAGTTTGTATCGTAAAAAATTAGATATTTCCAGGTTCATGGAATCTCAAGTCGATGTTTCTAACGGGCGATTAGT